ACGAGTTGGTTGTGATTATGTGCGATGCGGTGTGGAAACCGTTGATCTAGAGAACATCCGTTGGCTCGGAATGGTGTATGCTAACGTGCAGCGCTGCTTGAACTTGCCTCTGTTTTCCATACCACTCTTTCCTGGAGAGAGAGCAACCAACTCCTTTTTCCTCCTCGCTGTCAAATCAGGTCTTCGTCCTGGGGGGGATGGATCCACCTTTGTTGTTTTTTTTTTTTGGCAAAGTGGTGAACTAAGAATTTGACATTCTCTCTCGCCAAAGTATCCGTCTCGGACATGAAAATTTCCGGTAAGTATTGTTCCACCAAAAATGCAAGTACAAAGTATACTTATTTTGCTAGTGTCGACTCTCTGGGCGTTTCGTTCCTAGGCAAGCTTACGTTTCTTTATTCTGGACCTACAAGAGAGAATGCACGAATAATCTCTTGTACTGTGCTTTACGGTCTTTATTGGCGTATCTCACTGGCAGTTTCCTGCGCAAGTGTCCAGACGAGTTGGTTGTGTATATGCGCAATGTGGTGCGGAAAGTATTATTCTGAGAACATCTGTTAGTTTGGAATGGTGTATGCTGACGTGCAGCGCTGCCTGACCTTGCCTCTGTTTTCCATATCACTCTTTCTTGTAAAGAGAGTAACTAACTCCTTTTTCCCCTTCGCCGTCAAATCAGGTCTTCGTCCTGAGGGGGATGGATCCACTTTTGCTATATATATTTTTTGGCAAAATGGTGAACTAAGAATTTGATATTTTATCTTTTCACATATTTTCTTTAATTTAGTCATTTAATAAATTGGTAATAAAGAAGTAAAGTTCTTATGATTTGACATATATTTCAGTTTCTTGATATTTTCTTTTACAATTTTTAAATGACCAACAAGTATATATTATTGACAGTAAATACTTAGTAAGCTTGTTGATATCAATGGAAAACTATGTATTACATTATACGTATATAGTATTTTTATCTATATACGTATTGATAATTATGGCAATAGTATAGAACAAAGCTGATAAGTTTGTAGCTAATATGAACTTATATATATTTATATCTATACATAACTTGACTTTATTTGTTCTATAGATTGGCACTATCTTTTTTTTTTTGAAACTTATGTATATAATGCAAGTTAAATTAATATTTTTTAGAAGTAATTTCGACATTCAAATCTAAAACCCTGGCTTTCTCTAGTATTAAAACACTATTAAATTAAAAGCAAAGCAAAGCAAAAGGAATAAGCTTTAAAAAAAAGAAATATTATATTACTTAATAAAGATAAAATGATATTATCATTTTATGGTATTTCTCTTTGTAAAGTATAAATTTTGCCAAAGTATTGCTTCATCTGTCTGTAAGTATAATCACTAAAACAACCTTAAGTGCATATCTAAATGAGACACTATGCCCTGTTATTATAGAATCATCATTACTATGGTATACACGCTACAATTAAGTAGATTATAGACTCCACGACAAGACTCTGGTTTATTCTCGGTAATAAACGTGGGAAGTTAACAATCCCATAAACTTTTACATACCAAGTGCATGTACACTACACAATTATACAGTATAAGCCAATAATTACATAACAGAAATATGAATTACAAGGGATTTGAATAATAGTATATACAATTCTTTGTCGTTTTAGCTCTTTAATTAATAATACTCTTACAGTATCTACTTTTCTCAATATTGAGATATTAGCTCATAAAGAATCTCAAATACCTCAGAGCAATCCTTACTATAATTCTCAGTTTCAGAGTCATCTGACAGGCTGTATTTAGTGCGCTTAAGTGCATAATTGCTCTCAAGAAAGCAATTGCAGATATGTTTAGATATATTGCATTTTTCATATATAAGAGACTTGCACTCAGGGCAATAAGAGAATATGTGATCAAGCTTGTGATAAGAGCCACAATACAGTACTATATTGGATCAAGTGGCATATATATTATGATCATTCCAAAACCAGATAGAATCAGTCAAAGAAATAATCGGTGTATTTGGAGGACTGTTTGAGAAGCGTATGAGAGCCTAGGCCTGGCCACTAGACAATCATTGTGACAATTGTATAGCCTATCTCGAGATATATGCCATAGCTTTTGATAATTCTATGTACGGTTCTTATAGCTTTTATATTATCCTACATCAGAACCTTAGAGAGAAAGGTCTTGGTCAGTTCTACATTTGGTCCAAGAGATGGGAAACCATAAGTACTTTTGTCTTTAATCTTGATGCCTCCATTGGCATATTTTAAAGCTTCTTGTTCGCTCGTAATTACGATTTCTACCATTGTGGGGCTTCAAATTTTCTGAACAATCACCATAGTAGCATTATTAACTTATTTAAGTGAGACATCAACAGCTGTGATTTCATAAATTGATGTGTGTTTACACCTTGACGTTGGATGGAGAGTCAGCAATGATTCAATGCTCATTACAAAATACTTTCCAATTCGTTTCTATTTAAGTAATGCCCGCAAGATAGTTTGTACTGAGATGGAGATGATTAGCAGGCGGAAGTTTGAACTCGTACATGTTAAACATGCCTGCCATGAGAACGACAATGTGTTAGGGTCTTTTGTAGCATTATTGGTCAAGAACAAGCAGTAAGCGGTCCATTAACTGTATTTGTACAATTAAAAAATATTTTTACTATTTTGAAATATTTTTATAGTTAGCTTATGCTCTATTGATTATAATATATACGAAATTGGAACTAGCTTGCTGCTAGTAATATGTCTCTGTGAGATTCGAACTCACGCTCTTCCAACCAAGGTTGGAAAAACACCTGTCAAGCCAACTAAAAATTTAACTATAGACCGAGACGGGGGGAAGAAATCGAAAGACAAGGGCGAACTTCACTTTTTTAGGCAACGAAGACCGTATAAAGTTTGGAGACCCCGCCTTTTTCGTTTGGGATGAACGAGATTTTACCGTTCTAGAATTGGCATTATCAGGGTGTCTTTGCTTACGACTGCCTAGACAGTAATAAGCGAAAGACAGTATATGGTGTCAAGTACAAAATTGTACGGAGAACGAGTAACATTGTTTCCAGTACAGAGTAATGACTTAAAGGCGTTCAGTCAAAAACTCATTGAACAAGCACATCTTCGCAAAAACAGGATCAGAACACCGATCACGAGAGAGTGGAGGCTTGAATAAAGTAATTTATCTTGCGAAAAAAAACTCCATTTGCTGTTACAATATCGGTTACCAGCTAGCAAGAAGTAGACCAGTACATCATGACAGTCGGACCAAACTCTATACTGACTCTTCTACTTGGGCTAAATAGGCGTCCCAACTTGTTAAATCAGTCATACCCCAGACACTTGGATGCCTATCGCACGGGTTGAGTTGGTTTTATTATAGGTCAACTGCGTCGCTAGAACGTTCGGCTGTCAACCCATAGAAAACCAGTCTATCTGATCGTCTTTGAACCTCAACATCTGACATCAACGGGGAGGAGAGTATAGGGGGCTCGCCCTCAGTCCGTTTGGCTTGTCATAGAGAGTGGTGGTATTTCATTGGCGCCCGGCGGCTCCCACCTATGCTACACCTCTCTATGACGGATTGACCACGTTGTACCAAATGTCAGAATAGAGGAGACCAGAGTAAACCGGTGTTTCTTGCTAGCCGTTCCCAGAGCCATTAACTGGGTGTGGTTTGGTTGGCCGCTTTGGTTTTCACCGCAACGACATCACTAGAGGCTTTCTTGACAAGCTGCTGTCAAGGCTGACCCTTTCGGGCCAGACTTTATTTTTACTATTAACTGCGCGATGTTAGTAAGAGTTCCAATGAAATAAGGGTATATTTTTTATTTTGTGATTACTTACATTCACTTCTTGAGAAAATACATTTAGGTAAATGTCAAAAGTAACATTACTACAAATTACATTAATAAATTCATCGTAATTAGCATAACATGTGTGAAATGTACTTTCTTTAATGATTTTGTTACTTACATGAATATTTCTCTGTGTTGTGTTTATGAGAAAGGCGAGTTTTCTTTCCCTCGCACTGAAGAGCCATTTTTCTATACGCGTATGAGTGAATACGCGAGATATGACGTAAACAATAATCGCCCAATAGAATAATTCCACATATTTGCATGTGATGTCTATGTGGCTTATTATTTATATTTAGATATTCTATGTGTCAACCCTTTGAGAAGCAGGCTTTCTGCATGAAGAAGAACAATAAAGTAGTGAAGCTTTCTGTCAGTAAAGAAGAACCCAAAAGGGAAATTTAAAGGTAGTACTCAGGTACCAGCAAGTTTAAGGGCCTATTAAAGACGAGCTTAAAACATATAAAAAGAAGTTCTGTGGCCTTGTGCTTCTATTGTGTAGCCAGTCCCATCTTCCCATTTTACGTAACAGAAACAACGACAGAATTAGCAGCAGAAGAAACTACCAGAATATTGTATCAGTATATATCTTAGAGCTGTAGGATATAACTTGTATGATTTCCAAGCAGAATGTTTTCATCGAGCTGGTTATACCTCTTTATCTCATATTTAAGTCCCGGGTCGTGAAGTTAATCTGTAATATAAAAAAAAAGTGATCCAGTTTGCTTTTTACAAAAGCCAAGATTTCACAATGAATTGTTTTTCAACATTATAATCCGTTTGGTTAAAATGCTAAAAACCTCAATAGAGGAGGTGTTATCTAATGGAAAAAGTGTGACTGTTAAAAAATAAAGATTGGACAAACCCAGTAAAAAACAAAGCACTCCGGCAGCAGTTGTGGAAACTTATCAATTGATGAGAACATCATACTGTGTCAAATATAAGAAAAATAAATCCTCATAAATTTCAATCTTTTTTTTAAAATAAATTCGACCTTTAAAGATCGAATAAATTAATTACATATACAATAGACACTCCTGGCTACCCTATACCTTAATTTGAGAGTGAGATAATAAGCTCGATTTTGAGGAAATAATTAATGGAAAATGTTAGTGGAAAATTAGGAAATTCGTAATTTTCCACACATTTTCCACTAAATCGCGTCAACCGAGAAAAACGTATAACAATCATTGGAAATTACATCGCCGTTTCAATTGAAAACGGATAAAATATTCAATTTTCCACTAGATAACACCTTCTCTAATATATAATCACACATATTTTCTCAAAATCTGTGGGGTTAATCCTGATGTATTTGTGCTGATGTTTCAAATATCTTGCCAAAAGTATACAAGCGCTTCTTCTTTTCTACAAAATTCCAAACTCTTGAAATCAAATAAAAAGCTATTATAAAGTACAAGGCAAACTGGTTATTATTATTTTTTAAAAATCATTTCAATCTTTAAATTCAAAACTCTAAAGCTTCTAAGTATTTAAAGCAAAACAAAAAGAGCAAGCTTAAATAGAAAGAGATATATTGATACCAAGCAATGTTTTTCTCCTTTAAAAAATAATACCATCATTTTATAGTATTTCTCTTTGTAAATTATAGTCTTTACTGGAGTAACTACTTTATTTATCTGTAGATAGAATTACCAATACAACCTTAACTGTATATATCAATGAAGCACCTGGACTTTATTGCTGTAGAACCAGTATTATGTCTGACAGCTAATCAATCTTGCTCGCAACCAACTTGACATTGTCCTTGACTAAGCTGAAGGTGTAGCTAGACTTTTTTCTGATCAAGTCCTTAGCAAAAACTTTAGTATCTTATTTTTTTTCTATTGAATATATCAGATATATATATATATATATATTGCTTTCTTTTTTTTCCATTTTCCTTACTACCTAATATTGTTTTGAGATATACGTGAGTTTCTCTCCTAGTAGCTGCTGGGTCCCTTTTGTTCCTACTTGTACAAGCACATGCAAAAAAAAGAACGTTTTCTTATGCCCTTTAACTATACAAAAAATCTTATTTGATAATAAAACATGCTTAATATGACATGACTGTATAAAATAATTCTGGGCAATCAAGTACCCTTTTCAATGATACTCTTTTTCTATATATATATATATATTTTCAAAAAAGAGGATGAGTATATTTTACTTCTTTAGTAGGCTCATTGTTTAAGCTTTTTATCTTATTTATTTATTGTCGTTAAACTATGATAAATAGTATGAAAGGATATCTTTTATAATTCTTTTTACGTTTTCGTGGTATTGAAATGGCTATACGTAGTATAAAAATTTGGCTCCACAACTGTCAGGATTCCTAAATCCTATATTTCAATTTACACCCAATATATATTTTAGTCAACTTTCTGTTTTCCTCTTTTTTTCACCCTTCTCAAATTTCATGCGTATTATCATTAAACCTAGCTTAGCCAACGATCACTATTTTGGTATTAAATCAATGGTATTTTATATTTATCTTTTATCTAGCTATTTCTTCAGTTGGTTTTATTTTTATAATGAACAAAGAGTTACGTATCAGTATAATTGTACATCGACATAATCGACTCAAAATAAAAGAGTACTATTTAAAAGAGTACTCGATTATCTATCCTTGATATGTAAGCATTTAATTTAATCTCTTAACTAAGGCCATTTTTTTTTATAAATAAAGATTTGTATTTCTCTTCATAAATCATTGTAACCATACCTGTTAAGAATTTGGACTATTTATTAATTTATAACAGCGTATTTCTTTTGGTTAATGAGATTCTCAAAACAGTTAGGCTTTGATGAGTCAAGGAATAGGTCAACCGGATAAACGATTGATAAAAATACACTGATCTTTGTGGTATGAGCTAAACCTCCCTCTAACACATAATCTCACATTTTTTTTATAATATTTTTTTTTAAAAAAAACCAAATATTGGTATTGGTATTTGTATTTGTATTTGTATTTGTATTTGTATTTGTATTTGTATTTGTATTTTTATTTTATTTTTATATATTTCTTATTTAAGGATTTTGATCCTTTGGCTTATAACCAAGGCATCCAGGTGCATTCCATTTGACCCATCTTTTGTGGATTACTGGCTTGTGAAATCAAGTCAATAACATTCTGATTTGTTGGTTTATTAGCATTGATGGTCTAGTGTTAGATAAATATATGATTAGTTTTTTGTTTGTTTGTAAGTTTAATATATAGTATATATATTCTTACATTCTCACGCTCTGCCTTGCATGACAAGAATTGCGCTTTTGTCATTATTTGCAGAACGTTATTGTTGACTCTCTCACGGAACTGAACATCAGTAACAGATCGGTGGTTGGCCATATGCCAGGTAACCAACTCATCTCTTACAAACAAACTCAGATATTGATCTAACTCAAGTTCTGGTTCAGTAAGGCTGCGTGCTGTGGCCATGAGACAGCTAGTAAATAATCCTTCTATTCCAACAGGTGTAATAAACTCTTGGATATTTGGTGTGAAGCGGAATGGGATAGCTTCACCATTCCCAAACATAGGATTGGCTTGATTCCAGCCTGAATAAATCAATCTTTAGTAAACAATAAATTGCGATATATAGGCTGCAATATTTTTACCTGGCAAAAGTTCAGTCATCAAAACATTGCCTGTACTGCGTGATATAGCAATCTTATGGGGTGTACGGTGACCAACACTGAAAATATAGGTCATAAATGTTGCTGTGGCATATTGCGATGTAAATTGTTTGCGCAGCATCCAATAATCGGTATAAGAGTCCATTGTGTTCAACATGTACTAAACCACCAAATAGAAATGTAAGGGTATAGTCCGTGAACATATATTGGACTTACCTTGCTCAATATATTAGGAGGCACCATTGTGTTCGCTATCTCATCATTAATCTCCATTCTCAGGTTTATCAACTCGGTCTTTTGATTAAAAACCTATCAACAGCTCTTAGAAACCAATGTGTGTAGCTATCCAGATTTCTTAACTTACATCTTTCTTTGTGTTTACATTATTCTTAAATTTCTCTACGAAATATACTAATGGATCGTCTTTATGCATATGAACCTCATCACAGTGGTCTTCGTATATGTCATAAAGTGTGCAATATGATGGATCGTCTTGCACCATGCGTACATTGGGAGCAAGGGGTACAATTGCAGGGAGATGGAAAGAGAGGTTTCGCATTCGGCTTTCCTTGCGTCTCTCCAAGACACTGTTCAGAATACGGAAGAGCTGCATTAACCGCTCTTCCCGACGGAACTGGCGTGCAGCTGGATTCTGAATAACAAAAGGATGTAGCGTGCCATCATTACCTCTGATAGTCAATCTTCTGTAGCAATTGCCGTAGTTTCGAACTACTTCAACCTCGGGCAAGAATCGATCGATACGTAAAAAGTCATTGGCATTGTCCTTGAGCTGTTCCAAAGTGTTAGTGATTAAAAGCTTGATTTACTTTACTTTTATTTTATTTTTAATTCCAGAAATATTTCTTACCAAAAGGTATTGTCCAGGAATCTCTACATCATCAAATCGAGAGTGATGGAATTCAGCAAGATAGCTAGAAGAAGCTTCCAATTTTTGCTTTCTTGGTCGAGCATCCAACATGGCTTCAAACTTATCACGCCACAATCGAAGTTTGGCAACATACTCTTCCAAATTCAATTTCGTCTTTGCAAAGTCATTTACAAATGCCGTCTTCATGTGGCCAGGATATAGACTATCTGCAAATCGAACAATGTTTGATACAGTGGCCTGGGCAAGCTGAAGTGCATCTCCAGGATTTGTCAGGCGAGTTAAAAGTTGCTTTTGTTTATTTTATTTTACAAAAAAAAAAGAGAGATAGCATTAGCATTATACTTGATCTAAGATCAATATATTAAATTAATTCTTACCTGTGCACCTTCGTTGTAGAGTGCTACAACTAGTCTATACATATCTTCATCTGCTTGAGGCTTAAATTTAAGCTGAATTTGGTCCACCATGGTTTCCATTGAAAGGGCAAGCAAAGGATAACCAGTCTTTAACATTGCCATAATCTCATCCAAAGGATGGGCTGTCAATGAACCCATTCCCAGGTTAGCAGGAAGAGGTCCCTTGGGCATCCCTGGTGCCGATCCTGGAGTTGACCCGGGTGTTATTCCATGTGTTGATCCTGGCGCTGATCCAGGCATTGCTCCAGGTGTTACTCCAGGTGGTGGTGCATTTGTCTGATGAGGTACATGAGATAAATGAGGTCCATGAGGTCCATGCGCTCCATGAACTACGTGAGCTGATTGAGGTGCATGAACTACATGAGGTGCGCTATGGCCGGGTTGACTTTGACTCTGTTCGGGAGTATTATTTGCCTCATTAGATCGTGACGCATTGGCTTCCTATTGAAACATTAAATGGATCAATAAATATGATACAAGTTATTATATGTTAAAACTGTTGTATTTACCCCCATATGTGTATCTTCCTCCTTCATTTTTGTTTCGCCATGCTTAGCCTCGCCCATTGACACATCTTCATTTTTGAGAGCATCCGAAGGATTTCTGGCTCTAGAAGAGTTTTCTGCCTCTGGCCCATCAACATCCATTGCTTCTGTTTTAGTCTGGATATTTTTCGCCTCTGAGTCTTCTATCAACCCAGCATTATGTTTAGATTAATCATTGCATTTTTCTCATATGTTGTACCTGGCTCTTCTTTCACTTGAACCTGTCCACCATCATTGTTTTTCGTAGGCGTAGCAGTAGACGGTGTTGATTCGTTCGCTTGTTCTCCTCCCATTGAGTTTCCTTGACCCTGTGTATCCACCGTCGGATTGGCTGGTGTAGCCATACGCTTCATTACATCTTCCTTTGCAGTACGCAGCTGGAAGTGTAAAGCCTGTCATTCGATATATAACAGTAAAATAAAATATAAAAAAAAAACAATTTAGTAAACTTCATTAACTAATTATTCAATGGGTCCAAACCCATTTCTATTTTTTCTTATTCTTCATAATTTCTTTTTACCTGAGGATACTGCTTGGCAATGCGTATCAATATTGCACGCGCGTGTCTTGCTTCTTTATGTTGCAGTGCAGTCAAAAGCTGGGGAATAAAGGTAATCCAGTACCACACTGGCCAGTCTCCTTTGTATCCCTCAAAGGCACGCGAAATCGTTCCGCTCTGATCATCAAGACTAAGTAGCCAGAGAACACGCAAAAGATACTTTCGTGCCTTTGCATTCTTGTAAATTCCTGCAGCTTGCAAATAACAGCTTACTGCGTTATTAGCCCAGCTAAGATCTTTAGGAAGTTCTTTGAATCTTCTGTCATTGTAGCGGCCCCATTCTGCCCACGCACGTGGCAAAGAAAGTTCAATCTGCACAGCATTTACAAATGCTTCATTTGCTTCGTTACTTTGATTTAACTTGGCAAGGAACATTCCCTTGAGAGTGAAGAACTCGGCCTTTTGTTGGTTGGTGAAATACATTAAATTGGTGTTATTGATCACATCCAATCCAGCTGTCATCTCGGATTGATTTTGGTAATAGCATTTAGCTTGCTCTCGTAACTTCAAAAATGCTTCTTGAATTTCAATGTTTGGTAATGTATAAATCTTTGTGAGATAATTGATACAGACATCGTAAAGCTGATGTTTTCGAGCAACGTGAGCAAATCTGTTGATTATCCAAGCTGTTTCATGATAGCCTCGGTAAGCAAATGAGTTTCCACTTCCAGAATTTGCTGGTCCATGCTGTGGCTGAAGTAAAGGAATAAGAGGCAGGTATGTACGGTTGATTGCACTAAATATGTGCTGTCTCCAAGCTACCAAATCGCTCCACACATTTATGTCATCCCATGTGTTTGGTAATCTCTCACGCCATGTACCCAAGATACTTCTCAACTCTGCCGATTGTTGCTCAAGATTTTGTGCAGTAGTGCTTGCTAGACTCTCGAATATTTTACTTGCTTCTTGAAGTTCAAGATACTGTTGGAATATCTGAAGTAGTGGCAAATGACTTTGGGATACAATTGGTGGTAAGGAGTGCCATTTTCGCAATGATAATTGTACACCTTCTTCGCAGATACGAGTAAATTCAACTAGTCTCTCCTCACTTGTGTGTGACTTGATAAGGGAAAGGAATCCCTCGAACACCTTGTGACGCGGTGTAGGTGTATCGGCCACTTGGTGTAAAGACTGTTCAAGAAGCTCACGTTCAGCAGTCCAGTCAGATAAGCGCCAGGCACACTCGAGTAAAAGGTTTATGTTGCCGTCGTGCTTTGCCAAGTCCGTCAGAATATCCCACTGCTGTAACTTCTGAGTGCATGCAATCCAATGGTCTTCCCACAGCATGTACTCTGACTCGGTGAATGGAAGAACCCCACTGCGTGCCTTGATTTGGGCATTTTCGTACATATTTTGGGCTTGCATCCACATCCCACTCTGTTCACACGATACTGCTACATTGGTTTCGCTGTAAGTGCTTCTTCGTCTCCATAATCCATAAAACATGTCTTGTTCACTTAAGCTTGAGTACATATCTGCCAATGCATCAAGAGTACGTTCTCTATTGTTCTGATCATCTTTGGAAGACTCGGCGATTCTTCCGGTTGTGGCCGTTTGTTGAAGAATTTCAATAGCAGTATGCCAGGCATTGTGCGCCTTTCCGAGATACTTGACCAAATGAGGTGGTAGTTTAATTATAACAGTCGTGCGTGCAATACCCGTCAAAAGAGCCTGAATCACATTGGGTCTCTTCTCTGTCTGCTTGTTGTGGTAATCTTTGGACAGCAAATTAATAATAACCTTGGTTAGGTCGTGGCGTTCGGTACTTGTTAGGGTAGACCAACACATTGGGAAAAGTTCTACCCAAAGGTTAAATGTGGTGTCTGCATCGAGGTATTGTAATTGTCGGGAAGAGCCAACCAAGTTGTTCATATCATAGTCGCGCAATTCTTTCAAAAACTCCTGGTGGCTTTCGATTAAGCTATTGACTGTAGAAGGCACTTCTGTATCTCCGGATTCTTCAGGACTGACGATGTTTCGGATAGATTTGACTTTTAGGGTATGTGGAGATGACACACGTGTGTTAACTTTTACAACTCCCAGCAAGAGATCAAGTGCTTGGTGAAGCCAGAAAGTGTTGGATAGGAAATCCCAATTTTGGACACCAAGGATGTAATTCAAACGGCTGTAAAGAGATCGGCCAACACTGCGATCGAACACTCGCATGAACTCTGTTCTAATCTGAGGGTTTTCACTGCGAGTTCCGAGTAAGAAGGCTTGTTCGAGGCGTACAGTAAGTTCAGACCGAGCAAAGTTTGGATCACTGTAGATCTCGATGACCAACTTGAGAAAATCTTCAGTGAGTTTGGGATCACCGCGACCTTCAAAAGTCATCATTTTCACAAGCATTCCGGCCTTTTCTTTGATGGTTGGGAAGGTCTCTGTCTTGCTCAAGGTCCATTCGCTGATCATTTCCAAAATAGCTCTCAAAAGTTGAACGTCTGGAGACTTTTCAATAAGCTGGATCATGCATGTTAAGAACCAGCGACGTTGGTCACCCAGGTGAGAAATACGTTTACGGAGCAGATTTAGACCAATAATCAAAAGGTTCACGTGAGAATCTTGTCCAACTGTAGAAGACACATGGGAAGGAACTGTGTGCTCCTTAGTCAACTTTTGAAGCATCTTGATTAGACCGGGTACAAATGGGTCCAAGTGCTCACTTCTGCTACTGCAGGCTGCTTGGAGAAGTTTTAGGACAGCAAACGTATTGTTCAGATTGGTGATACCATCTGTAATAATAGAATCGACCAAAGAAACAAATCCAGTCACATCAGAAGTTTGTGCTTCTTGCTCAGCACTGTCTGCTCTAGTTGTTTCATGAATAGCCTTGAAAATACGGACAAGTGCAGGGTAGAGGGCAGTTTGAACTCTGGCGTGATCGGACTTGATGCTTGTTTCCAATAGACGATAAAGCTGGCTCATATTAACAATGAACCATTCAGAAGGCTTGTGGTTTATGTCAATAGTAAGGATTTCGAGTGCGCTACAGACACTTGGCAATATCATATCTGTCATCTCCTTGACTGTCAAAGTACGTTCAAGATGCGAGAACTTGATGTGAACATCAGGCCACAATGTGGGAGTAAGTAATTCTCTGATCAAATCGATTGTGCGTTGAACCAGTCTGCGCTGAATTTGATCTGTTGCCATGTAAAGAGCACATGCCAGACGGACCAGATACCCAGTTAGGTTCTCACGCAGAGCAAGACTGGGTGCATAGTCTTTCCCTGTAGGTAAACTCTCCAGAGTCATACTCTTCAACTCTCCGGTCGCGTCTTCAATTTGAGACTTCTTTCGTGGTCCATCCATTGATGTATCCGCTTTTCTTTTCTCTGGAGACTGAGTTCCTGGCTCTTGCTCTGGGTTCTGGGCAGAAAGTCGCGCCCTCTCCCATTTGAGAATTAGCTCTGACAATTCGACGGTGAGCAACTTGTGTTCGGGCGTTGCATTCGGAAGGAGTCCAAGCTTAGGAAGTGCGTTGACGATCTGAGGCAAAAAGTGCTCGCGGTAGTCATAAAAGAGGTCTGGATGGCGTACCAATAGTTGGTAGACATTGACAAGTTGAGATATACTGTGGGTATCTTCCACTACCACCTTGCGTGTGAGACGAACCCAGGTTGGCATCCTTTCTGCTCCTTGCAAAGGCACCCGCTTAGGAAGAACTGGGGCAAGAATATCGAGACCTTGTTTTACCAGTACACGAGCCTCTGACAAGTGAGCGCGTAAAAGAGCAGCATATATCTGGATTGCAATCTTGCTTGGACTATCGTATGTAGCGATAAAGCGGGAAATAAGCACATATGCCGCCTGCTTACTTGTTGCATCTTCTAAACGAAGGTGGTTCCAACCAAATTTGATGACTTCTTTGCGTAGATCTGTCAAAAGTTGAGGTGCATACTGAATAAGCATAGCTGTCATCTGGAGCATTTCAATCCTGAGAGAATCTTCGGTGTACTGGTTTTCTTCTGAAGTCTCGGACATAAAATAGGCCCAAACCTTGACCTCGAGTTGCTCTAGCATTTTTGTATCAAAAATCTCAGCCGGTCCATTGTCCTTGCGCACAAGAGCCACCAAGAGTGCTGGATTGATTACGTGACGCAGGGTCATCATCTTGAGATAAGATGAAATCGAATTATCCGAGTAGCGCTGTAAAAATGCATCAAGCAATTTGCGCTTTCTTGCAGGGGTGTACTTTAGTGCCACCTCTTCTAAGAAATAGGCTCTTAAGAAAGACAGATCAACAGCAGAGTCTTGAGCAAACATGGAGACAAGTTCAAAGATCAGCTCAATATCGTCAGGGTGAGATTTCAGATGGGTAATGAAAATACGGGCCAAGTAGAGAGACTCGCGTGTTACAAGTGTACCCTGACCATCTTCCTTTTTCATTCTCTCGAAACGAGTGGATGATCTCCAGAGATTGAGAAGGCAATCCATGACTTGGGGTTGAGAAGCAAGCCAGTTTGAATCGTACATAACAATTTCACGAACTATCAAGACACCTTGGTAATGCATAGATAAGCTATCGGGTATCTGGAAGGTCCGGTGAATTAACTCTGTAGATTGCTTTGCGACCTCATCACGGAGCTGAGATGCACATTCAGTACTTAAGATGTCAACAAAAAGACGGCTGCAACGAGGGTTATTGAGCTTCTCGTAAAAGTACTTGATTGTCTCTGTTGGATAACGGTTAAGATATTTTATCAAGTTGGGTCTAAAAGGACTCGATATAGTTCGTCGCAAGTGTTCCTCCATGTCCAATACAACAGTGACAAGATCATCCAAGAATATGTGCGCTGCAGCGGGTAAGAGATGGAAAATGTTGAGGATAGCCACAATGATCTTGACTTCATGGTTTTCGCTTAGCGATTTTCCAGCAGCTTCTTGCAGAACCTTTGGCTCGGCCCATTGTTTAAGATGGTCCAAAAGTTTTTTACCAATCTCGACCTTGAAGTAATTGGTTAAAAGCTCCAATAGACGAGCTAGACCTTCAAGTCCGGCTACGTTCAAAGTCTTGTGGTTCGACAACGTAGTAAGGATAGGGCGTAATCCCTGCTGCAAAAGTTCTTTGGGGAGCTTATGTTGTTGCGCAAGAACCTGCTTGAGTCCTCTGTGGGCAGCTTCGACTACTTCGGCAGATTTTGAATAAAGTGACTTGAAGAAAACCTGGATAATACGTGCACGTGTGTGGGTTTGGCGCTGGTTGGAAAAGTCGGAACATGCCATCGCAGCCGATAAAAGTTTGATACACACGATACGCAGGTTCATTAGGGAATTTGCATTCTTGTATTGCGAGCTACGGCTCACTAGAGCTTGATCTTCGGCGTCCGCGAGCGCAAGAGCTTCGTGGAGTAGTCGAATCAATTCGTCATTGAATTCCAAAAATGGAGGACGAAGTGTCAGGCAGTACGTTATAGCATCGATGTGTCCGATCTGCATGGCAAACGGTAAGGCACGCAACGGCTTTGCAAAAATTGGGGCTACAAGACGCTCTCTAACAGGAGTAAGAAGCTCGGTAACTTCATTACCGGTCAAATCGGCCAAAAGTTGGAAAGAAGATTGAATGGTCTCGCGCACCGTACTATTGGAATTTGACAGCTCACTAAGCAGGAGAGCGATAAGGTTCTGGAACTTTTGTTGAATTTCTGGAGATTCATCATCCTCAGGCCGGTTGCAGACCTTGAGAACGTGCGAAAGGGTCTGAGTGGCCTCTGCTGTGTTGACGTTAGCCATTTCTGGTGCAGCATCCTTGAGTACAAATAGAAGAGAGCGAATAAAATCAAGTTCATGTTCACGCATCCAACGAGTCCCCATATCAAGCTGCGAGCTCATGATAGAGATACCAAGACAGCCACCGCGTTTCTTATACCACTCTTGTTTATAACAGCAAGAACAGAACTGAGAAGCAAATACACGGAAAATAGGCAAGTGCCAGACGTGCTCTTTTCCGCCCATAACGCTTGAGGCAGTCTGGAAGCAGATCTGAAGAGCTTCTTCTGCTCTTTTGCGAAGTCTTAGGTCTTCAGATGCAATAACCTTGACTATGGCCTCTACCAGCAGTGTTGTGTTGAGATTTTGTACTGCCAGGCGTTCGTCCATCATATCCGACAGAGGTTTGTTTCCGCTTTCCTTTGCCTCCATGGCCTCACCGATGTGTAGCAAAGTGAAATGGCGACAAATGTTGCGGAAGAATGGCCAGGCATCGTCGGCTAACTCGGGGATAGTTGAGGCTCTCATGATCGACACAAGAATTGTGCGAAGAGCGTCTTCTTGGGCAACACGCTTAGAAAGGTATTTTGTGTAGCCGTTCCCAGAAAGCCGTTTTGGCTTCATGCCATTTTCCTTCAAAGCTGATCCAACTACTGTGTTTTCTCCTTCTGATAGTGGTTTATCTTTACCCTTATCTGCTTTTGGTATACCACTGTTGACCAGCTGCTGTTTGATCCGCTGACAAAGAGATTGAGCCAAGTCATCCGGTCCATCTTCAAGTTCCAGCATGAGTGCAATATTGGCTTTGAGGAATTCGTATGCATGTTTTTTGTAAAACAAATCAACGTCGGTCTGCTCGAGTGTACGAACTGCAACTTCGAGAGATTTGTCAAGTGAGAGGGTGTGGGGTGTGGTACTGGGATCAAATATAACTTCGACGGATACTCCACTGTCGATTCTTTGGTTGAAGGCCAGCTTCGGGGGGCTCTTGAGCATACGTCGATTGCGACCACCAAGCTTACCAAGAATCTTCATGGCTGTGTGGCTGTGTTGTTGGTTGTAAGGTAGTGGTTTAAGATGACTCCAAAGAGCATCCATGAGCTCCTTCATGACGGGTGCCATGATGTGGTCAAGAAATTCTGGGTTCAGATTATCATTGCAAAGCTCCATTGTTCGAAGACCTTGCGAAACTAGTTCTTGATCAGCCTGAAGAGCAATGACAAGTGGACGCATCAGGTAAGGTAGATACGGAAGTAATGTACTCAAACGAACAGGGACAGCCAAGCATAGCTCAACAAACAGATTACGCATCTCTGGTTTGTGTGCAAGGGTTAAGAGGGAATTGAGATTTTCGAGAAGGACTTGCAACAGGGGGGAGACTTCCTTGTATAGCAGCTCAAATCGACCTCCACCAATACTCTTGAACAAGGCTCTCAATAGCAAAAAGTAGTTTGCAGGTTCTTTTGCTTTGGTGGCCAGTTTGAAGCAACCCATTACCAAGTTACTTAAATAAGGCTGTAAGATGGCCTCATTTGTGTCTGGGAACAAGTTGACTGCCATAAAAGCCAATCGGAAGAGATGGAGCATGACTGCTGAATAATGCATGTCTTCTTCTCCAAGACGATCAATTCGATCGACCAAGAAGCGAATGAGAATCCCCACAAATCCTTGGGATGTGATTTCATTGAAGAGGAAAGATTGTGCGATGTGAAGTAGAGTAGTGTTGATGAGCATCCTGTTGAAAAAGAATTCCATTTGGGATGCAAATATTTCTTGGAATACGGCAGGATCCAGGAGAGTGAATACGATGGAGAAGAGGTCAAGTATCTCTTTCTCATTGGGTATCTGTGTTCCCAGTTTTAGGGTTAATTCATTGGATCCTATCGAACTCTCATTTTTTTCGGATTGGTTTGCAGCGGTGTGATTTGGGGGTGAGCCGTCAGCTGCGTAGTGATCGACATTGTAATATTCAAAGCACATCAGACCTTCTCTGAACATTCTCAAAAAAATCTCAATATCGTCTTGGCTGAATCCTCTCCCAAACTGATTGAAAGCCTGTGGATTGACATCAGGGCCTGGCATTGGATTACAATATCGCAAACCAATAAACAAGGGCTTTAAACCAATTGCAAGATTTTTAAAGAGGAATCGCCCATCTAAGTAAAAGAGTACAATTGACAGACACATATGATTAATAAAGTAGTCCCAGCTAATCATTAATCCCATACCTTTAATTCCATCCTGTGCTGTGTCTGGTAAAAATGCTGCTGTGTGAATTGATCTTGAGCGATCGAAATTGAAATCGTCTTCTTCAACTGCGTTTTCATCTTCTGCTTGCTGTTTCTTTTTCTTGTAATGCTTCACACAAGCATCAAATTGGATATTTAATGCAGCAAACTTGCTAGCAAATGCATCGAGTATCCGCATCAGCAGCTCTCGTCCTATTAAATATATATATATATATAAGCTCCAAAAAATACAAATACTTAATTTGTATATTATCTAATTAAGTCGAATAATATTTTTTTTTACCCTCTGCTTTGTTGGTAATTTTCATTATACAATCCATCAAGTTGAGTAGTAACTTTCCACACATTGTTTGGATACTCGGCGCCAGTGAGGCATCGTGAAGGTTTCGCGAATATATGTACACGGTTCGAGAAAGCTGTGCCGGAGTAAGTTCAGATCGGACATGATGAATTAAATCAGCCAGCATACTATAGGCTAGAGGTCTGTGCGTTGAGATTAGCGTTAGTTAAAAAAAATTACATATTAAAATCCTCAATATAAATATATCAAAAATAGAAATAGAAATAGAAAAGAAAAGGACTATGGGTGATTTATTATTCTTATTCTTTTTATTGATTTTATTAACATTATTTGCATTTACCTCAGTGACTCATAGGAAGTAACTCCAGTACCTATTAATACTTTTTCATTTAATAGTAAGTCGATTTTTGGAACAAAGGATGATCGTAATTCGGTCGAGAGGATGTGCCTTGTTGCAACGAGCAATTCCTAATAATTGGTTTGGTGATCCGGGGAATCGAACAACAAGAACAGCAACAAGAAGAGCATAAAAGAAGAAAGGAAGATCTTATTGTAATACTTAAACTATATAATTTATTTTATTGTATTGTATTGTAATGCATTTTATTTTTTACCTTTCGTGTTCCTGAAGATTCGGGTGGACATTCACGCAATAAGCGTAATACAAAATCTGGGATTTGATTCTGGTATGGTCTTAGAAGTGGAGTATAGCTACGCAGTATGTAAGCCAAGAAAGACATTGTCTAATTTTATATATTTGTTATATATTTAAGGCTGTTAGAAAATGAGTCCACAAAAAAATTGATATAATCTAGCAACATCCTCACCTTGACTTGAGCAACAATAAAATCGCAATATACACTTCTGTTTTTGATTTCTGGACTGACACCCACAAATACTTCTCCTTTAGCTCTTGCTGCATTAGCTGCTTCAACTTGTGGTTTTGCTTGCAGACTCAATGTCTAATCACTCGTTTAATATATCATTCCATCCAATTGATTGATATGCATATATGTATATATCACAATCTTACTTCAAAAATCAAAGGTAGAAATTTCATAATATTTTCTTGTGCCAGTCGTCGATGAGATTGAAAAAGGAGAACAACTATGATTGGGCATTCAGTGAGAACCTTGAAACTAAAAAGACTCTTTGGGAGTATTTTTGATGGTGTTTCTGGGGTGTCTGCTGCCGGTGACATTGGACGAGGTGATGTAGCTGAAAGTGGATTAGGACCGGGCTATTATTATTGTTATTATTATTATTATTTTTAAAAAAAAATAGTCAGAGGTTGGGTCGGCCGAGTTATATGATACACATACTGTTGCAGATCCAGCTGGTGTACTTGGAGCGTCAAAGGCGTCTTTAACTGTTTGTTCCATATTACAAAAGATTTCTTGGACAATCTCAAGAAAAGGCTGAACTTGATCTTCAACTACGTTTTTATAGGTTCTGTGCAAGTCAATGATAATTTTGACACAAACTACGGCGTTGTCTTCATTTTCTACTCGCATTAAATACATCAGGGTTTTGCATATGTCAGACGCAAAATCCTTGAGTGCTTCTGTTTGTGGCAATCTAAATATAATCTCGAGGATGATGTTTCGTAATTTCTATAGATCATGATGTTTCAATGGCTTGTGTCGATCGAATGGTAAATTCTGTATAACTGACCTGTTCAGGTGCATTGCTCACAAAAACTGGTGTACCGTTTTGTAAGATATCCAAGAATACCGGAATAAGAGTTGACAGGAAACGTGGGTACTCGAGTGTTTGAAAGACTTCGACTTGATCACGCAGTTCATTCGCAATCGTCACTTTGAGGCTGATTGCTATTGTAGTGACATAGTAATGTCAGATAGGTGTGTGTGTGTACGTGTGGCGATCGTCCGCAGCTATCTTACCCAGATTAGGATCGCCTAGTCTGTGTGCGTATACTTGTAATGTAGTCATGGTCGTCCTAGAAGAAGGTGGAGTGGCAGCGGCCCTTGTGAATGATGAATGAGGATGGAAGACCGTTGCCACGTTGGACAAAAATATAAGAAATAAAGGGCAAAATGCACGGTCGAGGTAATAGAAGCTAAGGAACGCGCACAAAACAGGGAAACCTAAAAGGTCGTTCTGGAAAGCCGTTTGACTCGGAAAATTCGAGGTCACGTGCTCTGTGACGATCATAGCGGACTGTGAACTACTTTCGCATGCGCAGAATGGATTCAGTAGAATGTTGAAATCCTGATCCAAGGCACAGAAAACATACACGCATACATACATATATACACACATCTCTATTATTATTCTTTACCTTGGGCTAGATATCCCCTTGTTCTTTTTCTTCTCTTTCTTTCTTTCTCTCTTCTTCTTTCATTTCTCACATACACCCACACTTTCCCTCTACGGCTATATTCCTTCTACTTCTATTTTGCTTAGATTTTGTTACCATTACAATAATTAAAACAAAAAGCAAAAAAAAAATAAGTTCTTCTTCAAGATGTTTAAAAAAGAACAAATGGACGCCTACCAAGGGGTATCAATTGATCACAAAGGTACACCATACAAGCAACAGATACATCGCTATTACTGTCCACCTAGTGTCACACAGCATAATCCTCTGTAAGCTAATTTTTTTTGATATTGTTCATCAAGTCCCTCTCTAATAATATTAACAACAGAAATTCCATGCAGAGGTTCGAATTTCAAAATGGCAAGAGCCCTTTATTATTATAATAAGTTTTCAGAGTAGATATATTCATATAGTCCCTCTCTCCTCTCCCTTTTCTTTTTATATATTTCTGTGTATATATATATATATATATAATTTTGTATGTATGTATTAACGTTTTTAGTTTGAGTTTTTTATAGATCAACAGAAAAAACCAAGGTCATGTACAAGGATTTTCTGCTGTGGGTGTCTTGGGTGTCTTCCTACCTGGACTCGGTGGATATGTTGTTTTCTGTTTTTGTGTATCATTGGTCTTGCAATCATAGCCGGTGTTTTGGTTGCATTGTTCAAGGTGCCTGTGATCCAGTTCAACGGACCTACAGACGATCCAAACGGCCTTGCTCCTTTTGAACAAAGTCTTGACAGTTCGTCTTTTATTATTCGAACAGGTCTCAAGATTGGAGTAGTAAATCCGAATATTGAAAGTGCATATTTTGAGGCAATCAAAGCAGTAGTAAGTGATTTCAAGTTAGACTTTGTAGAAATCTTTTCTCTCTATCTCTCTCTCTTTTGGTGTGGATGTATATGGGTGTAGACTTTTTGTTTCTTATTCTTCTTGGTTAGGCTTATTATCCCACTTCCCCTGATATTCCGGTTGGAGGAGGTGTTGTTGAGAAATTAAAGATTGATGCCCAGGGAACTACGAATTTTACGTTTCCATTTCATGTCCAATACGACGCAGCACAAGACAGTGATCAGAGAATGCTAATGGATATATCAAGTAAATGTGGTCTTTTGGGTGGTCCAAAACAGAACATAGTTATTCTTTATGACTTGACACCTACAATTCGTGTTTTGAGTGTCCCATTTTCATTCACTATTCGTGACAAGGTTAACCTCCCATGCCCTATTAAGGTAAGGTTTTGAAATCGACCAGATAATTTTGGTTTTCTGTTAAAGAACAAGAAACACACATATATATATAATAGCGAGTTATTCTTTTGCTTGTTTGTTTGATTACTTATTTGTTTATTTTTATTAGGATGGCCAATTACATACACCTGGTCATTAAATTTGTACATTAAATCATCCAAACAAATCTGGGGATAGGATGGATTAGCACATCATTTAAGATTCATCCGCCTTGTTGTTCATAGTAACTACTCTTTATATATATATATATCTGGTGAAACTTTTAATTTTTATTGAATATACACACAAGCAATATAATTCACTGTTATAATTATAATTATTATTACTATTATTCTTTAAAAGATCTTATACATTGATATATATAGCATCTCAATATTTTCAAATGGAATTTACATTATTGATCATTTACAAGCTTATTTAACAATATTGACGGTCATAAAGTACAAGACAGAATGAAACGATACGAGGCAATATTGGACAAGATGAGACAAAATTCCATATGAATAAGTATTATTCCAGCTATATTGTTTTTCTATGCTTTTGAAACACAACTATATTTTATCGCATTTTCTCTTTCTTAAAAAAGAGCTGTTATTTAGCTTGTACATACTAAATACTCGGTATTCAATTCAGTGAAATATTTAGTAACCAGCTTGTATGATCAGTATTTAGATATTATGGTAATAATAGAAGCTAAATTTTCTGCCTATTGGATATAAAAGGGGGAGGAACTGAGAAGGTGTGCGGGTACCTTGTGCTTGTATAATTTCTTTTGTGTGTATGTGTGTTTGACTGATTTCATCAAGTACTCCTAAACCTATTCTGTTTTTGGTGTGGTGTATTTATATCTTTGAATTTGATCTTAACTTGTGAGTGCATATGTTTCTGTATTGCCAATGCACACAAATGTATCTATTTAGATGATTACTATTTCGCATATGTATATAAAAGATATAAATAACCTTTTTCTATATACAAATATTGTTTAGTAATTTACGTAGATGGTTATTTGATACATATCAAGAAATAACAATTAGTGCAATTTGTACTTTATATTTCGTATTTTTTGTATCCTATTGCACTATATCCAATCTTATTGTATTCTACGCCCTATCAAATTACGAGGCTGCCGACATAGTACTTTATCTATATCTATCTTATGCCCTCTCTGAAAGCTTCTTTGTACAGACTATCTATATGCGAGGCTTAGGGGGAAATCTAAAGAAGAATAAGAGATGTTCTGTACACTGCTCTTGGGAATAGAGCTCTTGTTATCATACTTTGATGTATACAACTACTCTGATAAGTAGAATAAAATGAAACCTCGTTGTTTCTATTACAATTACAAATATTATATACGTATGTATTTCATATCTCTTATGTCTTGGGGAATATTTAACCAATGTTTCTGTATGTATATAATTCTCACAGTGTGTAAATAACAATGTTGAACAACATCCCTAATCCCCCGAGGTGGCATCTAATAAGGTTTGAACTTTCTTCCTTATTTCTTGTATCACTAACACAGATTGTCGTACTTGCAACAATTATATTTTATCTTTTTTTTTTATCATTTGAAATGCCGTCTACTAGTAAATCAGAATTTCAGTTGACAAGCGCGGTTCACAGCTGTCATTTTACAGATAAAATAGCTTATAAAATAAGAGAAAAGAAACCAGAAAATATCTTTATTTTTTTTTCTAATTCTCAATGTACTTGTGTTTAGGTGAGCATGCGTGTTTGTGTTTGTGCGCTTATGTATGTGGCTCCCGGTTCCTAAGCTGGTGACGCCATGTAAATACATTTATATATAAGGCATTCCACCGTGTCAAAAAAAAGGCTGCCTACGAAACAAATAAGACCAATAAAAGTTCCTGTTTAGTGAATCTATATGATGTAGATGTTCTATAAACTGCAAGAATCAGATTTGCCTAATGGCAGTTTAGACTTAATTTTATCCGTCCATTTATCTGAAGAATTGGGGAAGAAAATGATGATGATAATGATACCAGAAGCATATATGTGTATAAATCATTACTTAACCACTACCGAATCCCACAAATGAGTTTGTAGTAGATAAACATTTTTACATCAAAATACAGAATTATATTAGGCACAGATAAACTCACCCACAGAAGAGCTTCAAGACCCTTCCCTCTCTCCTTCACTCCTTCTATCTAGTAACCTCTACCCCAACAAAATACAAAGACAGATATAAAGCTAGATAGATAGAAAGAGAGAAATCCCTATGTAACAAAATATAATATTATTTCTTTGCCTTGTAAAAAGAGGTTCAAATTCAAATTCAAATTCAAGTATTAAATTATTTAGCTAGCAAGATTGAATACAAAATCTTAGTAAAATAGAGTCAGTCAGTCAGCCAACCCGAGAATATAGAAAATATATATTACCCAGAGTGTGGAAATAGACTAAAGAAAATCCAACCAGATGGATTTAAAGAAAATGATAATAAAATTGTGTATTATGAATTATTTATTTTGAAAAGAATGGATTGGTTGATTGGCCTGCTATGCCGTGGGAAAATGAGACTGTCTTCTTGCCAGTAAGATTTATTTATTTTTATAAAATTAAAAAAAAAGAGACTTGGAAAATTCTTGATAATAATCTTTAAATAAGTATATATATATTTCCTCTTTCTTTCACTTTCACTCTCTTCCTTTCTTCCTTCCTCCCTTCCTTCTATTTCATTCTTTTATAAGATAAGATTTAATTGAACCGTTCAAGCAGCTATTTTCAACAAATAAATGCATGCCCTCAAGAGATTTCCCCGGCTTTTGGCTGCTCAACCGGCAAGATTAAGAATAATCAATCAATTTCCAAAGATCCTCCCCCGTGTCACACCTCGCTTGTACTCCACTGCTCCTGCCCAGAATACCTCTGCCCAGACTGCTCCAAGCACAGACCCTTCCACAGATCACCATGCGGTTGTATCCACCTTTGATCTATTCTCTATCGGTGTCGGCCCTTCCTCCTCTCATACCGTTGGTCCTATGCGGGCTGCAAAGATTTTTATCAACGATCTCAAGGATCACAAAGTACTTGAGCGTGTCCACACACTCCGCGTCGGTAAGACATAGATTTAGAAATCCCAGGTGCAACCAACAACCAACAACCAACCACACACAAAAGAAAATATTTTATTCGATCGTCAAAACTAATTATAGTTTTTTTTTGGTTGCTGCTGCTGTTGAATAAAAATACAAAAAGATATGTTTGGTTCATTGGCCTTGACAGGTAAAGGCCATGGAACACCAGAAGCAATTCTGATGGGCATTGAAGGTGAAACTCCAGACATGGTCGAAACCACGACCATCAAATCACGAGTAGAAGACATCCACACAAATAAATCCATCCGATTGGACGGCACCCACCGCATCAACTTTGATCCCGAGAAGCACTTGATCTTCAACTACTTCAAGGCACTACCCCAACACCCAAACGGACTGAGATTCTGCGCCTACGATGAGTCGGCAAACATGGTCGCCACAAATGAGTACTTTAGCATCGGCGGTGGATTTGTTGTTAATGCCGCAACACAGCTGGATCATGGTGAGAATGTGTACTATAAGCAAGACATTACCGATGAAACAAAGGAAACAAAATCCAAGGCCAAGGCTGTTGCCGAGGCCGAGGCCGTGGCTGAGCGTACACAGCAGGATATTGCCGTGGTTGCTTTGCCCTTCAAGAACTCTGAAGAACTGCTGGCTGTCTGCAAGAGAGAAAACATGACAATTGCTCAGGTTGTCTATGAAAACGAACTCAAGTGGTCTACACCTGAAGAAATCAGAGAAAAACTGCTTAGAATCTGGAACACTATGGATGAAAGTATTCGTAATGGTGTCATGGCATCTCCTCATGGTAAGAAACAAACAAAAAAAAAAGATAATTATCTGATTATAATTATTATTTGTATGTACTAATCAATATATATTTTTTTAATTCTATTGTGTATATAGACTATTTACCTGGTGGTCTCAACGTTCGTCGTCGTGCACCTGCTCTGTACAGCAAACTTCTCAAGGGACTCTATGGCCCAGTTGCTACTCAGCCCACATACAGCGACAACCAAATTCCCCTCCCTGGATCCATTCAACCTACCGGATCAGCACTCAATTCATCACAAGCATCCCCAGATACCCCGTTCCCCTTGTCACTCTCTGTACTTCCCAAACGTCAACGCAAGAGATTCTTCCTTCCAGGTAAACTTGGTTGATCATCAAAATATTATATAATGTGGATATTATGGGGGCGTATTTTATTTTCTTTTCTTTTCTTTTTACTACTTAAAATAAAATGAAGCAAAACAAGAAGAAGAAAACTCGCGGCTCTAATTCATACTCATACCTATACTCATCCTCATGTTCATGCTTCTGTTTTTTTTTCCTACCTTTTAGCTCTCGACTATCTTTCGGTTTATGCAATTGCTGTCAATGAAGAGAATGCATGTGGTGGTCGTGTCGTGACTGCACCTACTAATGGTGCTGCCGGTACAATTCCTTCTGTACTAAAATACTACCTCGAATTTATTTCCGAAAACCCTGAAAAAGATGTTATGGAATTCTTACTGACCACTTCAGCAATCGGTATGCTCTTCAAGCGAGGAGCCAGTATTTCTGGTGAGTTGTTGTTTGGGATAGACAATGTTTTATTTTATTTCTTTCAAAATAATAATAATAATAATAATAATTTATTAATTATTCTATCTATTGTTTTTTTTAAAAAAAAAATAATCTACAGCTGCCGAGGTTGGATGTCAAGGTGAAGTTGGCGTGGCTTGCTCCATGGCTGCTGCTGGATTTACGGCTGTCATGGGTGGGTCTGTTGACCAGGTAGAGAATGCGGCCGAGATTGGTATGGAACATAACCTGGGTCTGACCTGCGATCCTATTGGAGGCCTTGTCCAAGTGCCTTGTATTGAACGCAACGCCTTGGCAGCCGTAAAGGCCATTGCGGCTGCTCAGTTGGCATTGAACGGAGAAGGTGACCATCGTGTGTCACTCGATCAGGTCATTGAAACAATGCGACAGACCGGTCTTGACATGATGTCGAAATACAAGGAAACAAGTCAAGGTGGTTTGGCAGTTAATGTTCCTATGTGCTAAGCACACACATGCACGCACACGCAAAATCTCACCCAAATTACAAAAAAACCAAAGCTCATCAAAGCATATTATATATTTTATATATATGTTTCAACATTACTTTTGTACAATTCTTTTCTTTTTATTTTTCTTCATTCATTCATACAGTCATATATATATATATACTTTAAAAATATATAAAAAAAATTAAATATATATAAAAAAAGCAAAAAATAATAATATGTGGATAAGTATGATATGTATATATATATATATCAAAAATCTTGTCTTTTATTTGTTAACTCCAATAGTGAATGTTAATCAGTGTAGAATACACTGTTACTGAAAAAAAAATACCCAGCCTCTTTAATGTGTTTTAACTTAATTAAATATTATATATGTATACAGGCTTTTGAGCTCTTTCTTTCTTTTGACTTTGACAGTTTCATTTTGTGTATTAAACGCTATTTTTTTTTGGCTTTATAGAGCTAACAAACTATATTCATTATATCAAGTGAAAAGAAAATGTTAATGAGTGAATTTCCTTTGCAATAAGGGTGTTTCAATTGTTTTCAAGAATTTATACTTTTATAACCGGTGCTTTAATATGAAAAATTATTGGCTTTCGATGATTTGAAAATTCAGAGAACGCGATTTTTTTGATTTTTTTTTTTTTTTTAGCGACAAAAAAAAAAAGGAAAGTTATGCGATATTGGTTTCTTATTTGTTTTAATAGCCGATTAATTATAATACAGTAGCCGATAAAATATTGGTGCGTCCATGAAAGCGCAATAATTAGAGTACCGAAAATGCCCTTTTTTTTTTTTCACAATAACAAAACAAAAAAAAAGGTGCATTACCAAAAGTAGTATACCACGACAAGTTCTGACAAACACCAGTTCAGATACAAGATCTTTGTTCTTTCTTATTAGTTTTCTTTGAATTCTTTATATTCTTTATTCTCTTCTAATGATATTCAGATTGCTTAGTCAACAGTATTCATCTATATTATACATAGAAATTTTAGTCAGATAGTAGAATCAAGATAGATTTTACAAATGGGGTAGTGCTCTTGAAAGAAAGAAATAAAAAAAAATTAAAAAAAAAGATCAAATTATTTTTACGAGACACCAGAATCTTAATAGTAAGAATAAGAATCGGTGGTTCCAATCATAATGATATATTATTATTTTTTGTATTGAAACATTCACACACTTTCATGACAGTGCTTATTTCTATTTTATCTTTTTTTCTTCTTCTTCTTCTTCTTCTTTATTTCTTACTTTCAATAATGACAGGTTACGCAGGGCTGAGGAGAAGATGAAAAGAAAAGAAGAAGAAAAAGAATAGGGTACTACCAAGATCAGCAAAAAAAAGAAATACAAAAAAAAATTGTTAATATTGGGAAAAAAAAACGAAAAGATAGTATAGGGTACCCTTCATAAAGACAATAGAAAAATAGAGAGAGAAAAATATCAAAAGAAACTCAACTCAAGGTTATTTTTTTTCAGACTTTAACAATTAGCCTCTTCCCCCCCCCTCCCCCCCCCCCATCCTTACCGCCTCTTCTCCGAATACCGGGAATATTACAAAGAACAAAAAAAAACAAAGAAATTGGTTTTGTTTTACAACATTGACGAGAACAAAACCAAAACTCTGACATTAATATTAATGTCATTATCAAGAAAGTCATTAGTAGCCGCAGCAGCGTCAGGAGGATTGAGGACTCAATGGACACTAGAGATATATATATATATATATTTAAAAAAAAAAAGGAAAGCTCCCCATGCCCTTCATCTTTCTATTCCTCTTTTTCCTCCATTAATTTTGATTGGATAGAGAGCAAGAAAACCCCCAACTCATCCCAAGTAATTCAACAAGTTCTACTTTATGCATTTGATTGACCAAGTCAGCCAGTTAGTCAGTCAGTAACTATTGAGGTTGTGTACATTCTTAAGTTTATTACGAGTATTAATAGAGTCCAATGTATCACTTGGCTGAATAATATACATATATGTATATATATGTATATATAGGTTCTTCAAAAAAAAATGGCTCCTAAAAACGTCTTTTCTACATACTTCTTGAATGCTATAGACACATGAACTGCTTTGTTTAAATGCAATGATTAATAATTTGTATATTGTCTTTCTTCAAGTATATTCTTTGCTCAGCTGCCAAGATTAGTCGTGTGTTTGTAATAACATGTTGATAAATAATAATACATAAAGAGAAAGGACTGAGCATGGGTTCATAAGCACGATCCTCGTTATTATTATTATTTTATATATATATATATATATATATATATATCTTTGGTTACCTCGACAATGCTATAATTGTGCTTTGATTTGTGGCTCGTCTTGTTCAACCAGGCTCGCACTGACTCTTTTCTCCGGGACTTCCTTATACAAACACAGCACGGAATCTTTTGCTTTTGGTTAACAATTGCGATGATAATTGTGGGGTATTGGTATGAATACGGATTTAGGCATGAGTATAGGTATGGGTATTGACTATTGATGATACACACATACACAAGTTACATTCTCTTTAGAGAAGAATTCTGTAGTTATAGACATTCCCGCCTATTACTAATACTTCTTCTTCTTCGCTCTCTCTCTTTTTTAATTCTTTCTTCCAACTCTTATCTACTGTTTTTTTTTTTTTTGGTTTTTGTATTGTGCTTTTCTTTTTATGTGAAATACGGTTGCACCAATCAGTTGTCTAACCTGGACCATTTACAATACGGTTGAACTTTCTTCTTTTTATTATTCAAATTGTGTTCATGTACATTATATAGGAGAAAGATGAAGTAAGCGTTGATTGTCAAACACATTGGACTCCTAAAGGTAGACATGGTCAATAAGCAAACGAGTCTTTTATCATCATTGTAATGTATAAATATGTATAGATTACAAAGTATGTTTTCCATGATTGTTTCACATTCCTGCTTTTGATTATTCTGACACATTTTAACAACCAGGGTGCGTATTTTGTATGATAGTATTACAGTACCGATAAATAACAAAATGCTAATAAAAGTACATCTATATATCTATAAAGAAATAAAGACCTTCATCTACTATATACCATATACTCTATAGTATAAACTAAAGGCACTTAGATCCCCCCATTAAACATGTATCGTGCTTATCAAGACGACTACGCAACCAACAGGAATGAGTTTTAAAGTAATATAAATACGCAACTCATACAACTTACGCAATACATTGTGCCTTTATACTCTATTTGTATGTGTATGATATATGTATATCATATTAAAGAAGAAAGGCACAGGTGTTGTGTGCACTGGTTTTTATAAAAGAGTAACAAGACATGAATATTAAATCATTAATAATAACACCAATCACTAGACGTAAATGATATGATGCTACTCAGCAGTTACATGTTTTAAGAAGAAGAAAATAACAACAATGTTAACTTACGCACACGTACACACGCGCACACATGTGTATCTTTTACTTGTATTTTGGTCTGTCTGTGTCTATTAGATTCAGGTACAAAGACATTTTGGTTTATAATGATATTGTAAAGAATCTTAATATAAACTACTGCTGTGCTTCTAATTAGATTGTTACAAAGATAATATCGTATAGAATCTATTGGACAACTTTGTCTTCTTCTTTATTTATTAAATATACTAAAATATAATATAATATAAAGGGAGACACATTAAATCCACCTCTTTGGCTTTTGCACACCCCTTGAGGAGTCCATAAAATATAAAATAAAAAAAAAATACAATAATTTCCGCAGTCTTTTTTTTTTTTTTTCTTTTCTTTTAATTAATTTATTTCTTATTTTTTAACTTTTTCTCGACTTTCAAACTCCCGGTAACATTCTCCTTTTTAGGAAATTGCTTAATATAAAGTCATACTCTTTGTATTCTATTTTTAGATATAAGCAACAGTGTGTGAGAGTAAGAGATGGATATAGAAAGTGAAAAAGAGATGAAATAAATAAATAAAAAAAAATTGTACACAAAAATTACGTATATGTTAAAAAAAGAAAATTATACATCTATCAAGACCATCTTTGAAATCAAACCAAATCAAAATCCATCTTTGAAATCCTATCTAGATATCTCTTTCTCTATTCCATTATGGTACGAGCTGTTACACTCGAATGGCTTTGGTTTCCTACTTCTTTTGTAATATTATTTATATATCTGCACATAATTTTTATATCAAAAAAGAATAAAAGAAAAAAAGAGAGAGAAGGTCTGGAAATGTGGAAAATGTAATCATCCAGTACAATTGATGATTTGGTTTATTTATTGGCTTTTATTTTATTTTTATTTCCTTATAGTCTGTAAATGGAAAATTCCAACTACCGAAAGAAATAGCATTAAATATTGACCAATCATTTAAAGTTCAGATATCCTTTTTGTGTGTATATGTTTTATTTTTATTTTTTCGAAAAAAAAAAAGATCAAAATAAATTACATAGCTTTTAGAGGTTATTCTGAACACCCCCTTACTGGCTATAATCACCTTTCTTATTTATGACCTCAATTCTTCTAATACTTTAAATAATAACAATGGTGATGATAATAAGGAATTAATATTCAAAACAAGAACAAATCTCTATCCTAGTCGATCTATATACTTTAATTAGGAAACCTAATTATCTCTAGTATTGTTTTGTAAGCAAAGGTTTTGATTACAAACCAATTAATAATTAAGCAACAACAACAACAAAAAAGTAAGTCTTTGAATTTATTTTTTGATTTTATTTTTGGGGGTGGTGTACGAATGGAGATCTCTTCACGTATTGGACCTAATGATAATATGTTACTAGTCTTAATATTCGCTTTGTATTATTCTTCAGAGCCTTCAAATAATACTCGGTAGACGGGTAAATCACACCCTTCATAAAACAAATACAAACAAATATAGAAAAAGAAAACCAAATAAAAAGCTAAATTGGTTCATTTTATTTTATTTGTTTTTGCTTTCTTGAGATCTTTATTCGGATATACTTGGCATATACCTACTATGTATTTTTCTTTACTTTGTTGAAGATGAGCCAAAAACCGAACCGAACCAAATCAAGAAAATAATAATAATAATAAAAAGAAAAAAATCTCGAGAATGTTCTCTATAATTCTTTATCTTACGAATTCTATTTATTTCTTCCAATAGAATTTTATGTATTAGATATAGAACAAATTCTATACAATTCCTACTGTGTTCGGTTGATTTCTTGGTTAGACATGTACATATATGGATGACTTGGATAGTTTGTGTTATGATGTGGTGTAGCATAGCATAACATAGCATACAATAATGTTCCTACATATATTATATAATTTATTTATTTAAAGAATAAAATGGGGAAATCCAAGAAATGCTTGACCAAGAAGAAAATAAAGGTAACTTTCTATTACGCGTATTCTATAATTTATATGCATGGATATGTGTATGAATATGGGATGCACGCGTGTGTTGTTAGGTTGGGCGGAGTATTGTTGCTATGGATTTTAAAGTCCAAGGATGGTAATAATAATTGAAGAGAGGAAGAGCAAGTTTTTATAAAGTGCGCGGAACGAATATAGGATTGGAAAGGTATACGTAAGAATTCGGTTACTCGAATGATTGGTGATTCAAACCAAAGAAATCTATTTTTCTTTCATTTATTGAGCCTTAAATAAATAAAATAAAAAAAGTTCAAAAAGAAATATGACTCATTAAATTAGGTACAAAATTATCTACTCCAAAAATTGTACTTTGTAGAATTATGTTATTTGAAGAAAATATTCTTTTATTCACTCTGGACCACATCTCCATTTGTTACACTACTTACATATTATATACAGTCAAAAATGAGCAACACAAAAAAAAAATATATATATATAAAAAGTTTAACTGCGCCGCCACCTTTTTTTTTTTAAAAATAAAATAAAATAATATTAACGTTGCACGAAATTGGACTTTTTTTCTCACGGGGCCCAGCGGACAATCAAAAAGAATATAGAATACAAAATTTTATTTATTTATATGTATTGTTTAAAATTTGTATTGCTTTTTGACCAAGGCATCAAAGGATTCAACATTGACTGCGTAGGCACGGATGAAATCTGCTTCCATGTGGTGCATCTTGCTGCCAACCAGGACAAGGGAATGAAGGGGACCCCCGAAATCAACCTCGAGCAATTCACTCAATGAACCAGCCACAATCTGTTCGGTAGAGGTACCAATTCTTGCGCAACCAATGGCCAATGATTCAGGAGTACAGATACCCTGTTTACGGTTCTCCTCAATTTCAAGCAATTGCTCAACAGCCTGGTTTACAGTCATGTAACGTGGGGGTTCATAGATTTTACGACCTCTTTTTATATATATATATATAGTTTATATATATATATAATTAAATACATACATTCATTCATTGATTCATTCATTTATACATTCATTCATTCATACAAAGATAGATAGATTTATATATGTTTTATTATTTATTTATTTATTTATTTATTCATATTCATATTCACATTCTTTATTCTAAGCTAGCTGATTGGCTGACTATTATCTACATATCTACATATCTACTTATTGAATATTACATATATACATTAAAAAAAATAGAAAAAGATAATTTACCTTGCCATATTTTCGATACTCTGTTCCTTGACCTTGATATCTATAATACATATAGATTAAAAAAAAATTAATAATTAATAATTAATATATTTATATATTACCCAAAAGGCACAGGGTGTGCAATCCAATGTTGTGGTTCTCAATAATGCGGTCATAGAAACTGTCGGGGCGCCAGGTGTCAGTGAAAAAGACGATTGAAATTGTCTGACCAAAGTTGTAAAGCTGGAGTCCACAAGCACCAACGGCATTCATAATAGAAGCGTTGTGGATCACCTGAACAGGAATGTTCATCTCACGAGCACGAATGACAAGATCAGTATGTGTAGTAGCACTAAACAAAACCAAATATATATATTAGTATTATTGTTACCTACACAAAGAAAAAGAAACTCACCCATAGGGATCACCAACTACCAAAAAACTGACGTTGATTTTGTCTGCATTGGCAAGAATGGCATCACTTTCGGTTTCAACCATCTCACGATCAGCAATAACGACTTCTTTTCCATAGTAAGCTTCCTTTAAAAAGAAAGAAAGAATATTGTATGTAGTTAAGTAGAAAATAAGAAAGAAAGAAAAAAGGAAAAACAATTCAAATAATAGATGTATAGGTTTCTTGTTGATCCTACCAATTTTTCCTTTCCAACAGTCAGAATAGAGGTGTATGCTTCGAGATAGATACGTTCACTGCCTTTGACGGCCTGAAGACCCTTGACAGTGATATCTGTCTCGTCAGATAAACCTAATCCTACAATATAAAGCATTTCTTATAAAGCAAAAAAAAAAAAACAAAAAAAAATAATAATAATTATACTATGTAAGAGAGAGAGAGATTTGTGGCTTAAAATAATAATAACAATAATAAGACATGACAATCACTGTCTCGAAAGATGCTTTGTGGTATCGGCTGCCTAATTTGGAAATCTTTTCCTATTTTAAATGCCAGTGTATAAAAAAGTCTTATAGACACACATAATACACAGAAGAGATAAGTGAGATCTACGTTTGAACAATAAGAAAAAAAAATATATATAAAAAATTTTAAGCTATATCGCTTCCTCCCCCCCACTATAGATTACCTTAATATTTTGTCTTTCTGCATTTCTGCATTTCTTTCTGTAATTCTATCCGGCCATTCGTTTATCTATTTTATTATTTGTATTGGAGCTGTCAAAAACCGAAAAATGTACTCATTAAGCTTTTTTTATTTATTTTTTTATTCATTATTTGTTAATTGATATTATTATAAGAAGAAGAAGAAAAAAAAAAGGTGCTCTTTCATTTCATTTTTCTATATTAACTTTTTTTTTTTTGGTTTTTTTTGGGGGGTAGTTCTTTCTATATAATTATAGTAGTAATGGTAAAGAGGTAAAGAAAAGGAGGGGTAATAAAGGCATACATTCATACAATATATATGTAGATATATAGATATATACATTCTTTTTTTTTTCATAGCTATATAAATAAAGTTATAATTATTTGAAATAATTGGTATGGTTATGATTATGATTATGATTTTCATTATCGTTATAACAATGGCTTTAAATAAGAATCATAAGAATTTTATATAAAGAAGAAGAAAAGAAGAAGTATGTATATATCTATATATCTATTATGTGTATATATAATTTTTTTAAGAAAAAAGAAGGACATAAAGGAATGAATGAATGAATGAATGAATGAATGTAGTTTGTGTTTTTGAATAGAATTTGATTATATGATTTTTTTTTGTTCTTTTTCCTACTTTCTTTCTTTCTTTCTTTCTTTTTTTTTATGATAAAAAAATAAATAAATACCGCCTGTTAACCAAAGATCATTATTTTTTTTTGGAAAAGATTCTTCTTGTATAAAGATATATTTTAAGAAAATAAAAGATAGCAATGCAAAGAAGAAGCATGAGAGGGGTTTGTTAAAGAAATAATGAACAAGAAGCAAGAAGTAAGGAGTAAGGAACAAATGAGGAGGAGGAATAATAGTAGTAGTAGTAGTAAGTAGTATTACCTAATAGAAATAGAAAATATAAAAGAGTAGAATAAAAATACAATAGAGGAGGAATATATGTATATATTATGTGTGTGTGTGAGAGAGAGAGGGAGATTTGATATAAAATATAGAAAGAAATGAACAGAAAGAAATAATAATAATAAAAAAAAAGAGCACCTTTTTTTTTTAGTTTTTTTTTGTTTTTTTATCCATTCATCTTTTTTTTGATTTTTTTTATATAAAAAGACTTCTTTAAACATCTTTTTGTACTTCTTTAAAGCAACACAAAAAAGAAGCAAGAGAAATCTTTTTGAAAAAAAAATTAAATCAGATAGATAGACAAATAAAGAAATAAAGAAAGGAAAAAAAAAGAGGTACGTCACTATACAATAAAGAAAGTAGGATAGACAAAATGTTTAAACACGGATACGTCTTTTGATGGTGGGAATACTGGACTGATGGTGATGGTGAAGATCGTCGGTATCTTGAAGCTTTCGCTTAAGAGTAGGTTCAGGAGGAGAAGGAAGACCACTGGTACCAGTGGTAGGACACGATGAAGAAATGTTGGAAATTGCACCACAAACTGATGCATTGGTCTCAACTGGAGTGGCCATACCATGATGGAATGAAGTGGGCTCACTGGCAGCAATTGCAGCTGTTTTGTTGAGTCCAAGTCCAAGGCCAAGACCGAGACCGAGGCCAAGACAATTCAAGGCTGCTTCTTGTTCGGGAGATTGGGTTGGGGTGTAGGTAGGTGTTGCTAGCGACAAGGAATTGGGTGAGAGTCCAACAATTGCCGATCCAGAGACATGTCCGTTCTTGGTCTTGATATTTGTTGTTGTTGTCGTCGTCGTTGTCGTAGTGGTGGTTGTAGGTGCACATTTCTTTTGGTTGGTCGATGACAATGGCTGCATCTTGAGATGATTCTGGAGCATGTCCATCCACTGGTCGTAGGTGTCTTTCTTAACATAAAGACGATAGTCCAAAAGCTGGAGCATCACTTGTTCGGCGTGATTGATCTCGTGCACGGCCAGACCGCTAACTTTGCTCCATGCAGAGTTTTTGTAGGTCTTGTCGTGAAGGAACTTGTGTGCGCAAATAAGAGAAGCTAAAAACATGCGTCTGCCACAGGCCATGTAGACATCGTCGCTTTCGTGTCTGGCGTGAACTCTGGGACGTACTCTGAACAGGTAAAAGATTGCAAGTTGCAGGGTAGAGTGGGTGGTACGAGAATGTTTGAGGATATGGTGGAGGAAGGTATTAAGGTTTGCGATAGGGCGATGAGCAGCCCCAGTTGAGGGGGTACGAATAGCATTGGGCCAAATTGAGGCAATTGCCTGAACAGTCACGTCTACAAATAGAAATCAAGACAAGGTGATTATTATTATTATTTTCATTCATTCATTCATTCATTCATTTAAATATATTAAGTACTTTAAAATTATATGTATAATTATTTAATTGTATTGTTCTTTAGGGTGCGATAAAGAAAAATATATAACCATAACCATACTCATTATAGATAACGCACATATATACACACACACACACACACATACACAAAGACAAAGGCATGGAGATATGGACAATGATGCAGTGCTTCTCTTGTATGTGTGTGTGTGTGTGTGTGTGTGTGTGTGTTTGTAATTTTTCAGGTGTAGGTTGTGGGTTGTATTATTGTGTGGCTAGTTGATGCTTACCGACAAGAGCGTTGACGTAGATACGTTGGTGTTCATGATATTGTTCCTGATATTGTTGCTTCTGCTGTTGGGTTTGGGGTTGGGTCTGCTTCGGCTGCTCTTGCTGCTGTTGCTGAGGATATTGCTGGTTGTTCATGATACTGTTGTTTTTGGCTTGATACTGTTGATACTCCTGCTGCTGCTGCTGCTGCTGCTGTTGTTGTTGTTGCTGGCACTGATACTGGTCATGATAATGTTGATGATGAAGAGGCTGTTGTTGTTGTTGAATGGGATATGGGGTTTGTTGATCAAGCACACGTTTGTCACTATGGGTAGGTTCAGGAGTAGGAAGCATAGTCGTGGTGGTGTGGTTGATCAAGAGTGAAACCAAGAGAGGGTTGGAAGGGTATTTATGGGAATGGTTCGCACCAATAGGATGCGCAGCAACACTCGTAGCAAGTGTGACTGCTTGCGCAGCTGATGTAAAAAGAGTCATTTGTGTATCTTTGGGGGGTGTGAGTAAGAAAGAGAAAGTGTGCGTATGTGTTTGTGTGTGGGTGAGCGGTTTTGTGAAAGGGATCGTGTAGTTCAAAATTTAAGGTGTATTTAGTGGACTTGGTTGTAATGGGGGGTGCGGATTGGTGTTCTTTTATATTTATATAATACAATATTATATATAAATATATGTATGTATATATTTAGGGTCGGAACTAATACTACAAATGGGATTTTTTTGCTGTGCGTTTTGCTGTGCGTTTTTGTATTTTTTTTTCTTTTCTTTTCTTTTCTTTTTTTTTTACTGCGTAAAAATAATAAGAAAATAAAAATTATAAAAAGATATATAGATTTTGAAAGAGTGAATTGAATTATTATTATTATTATTTACTTTTTACGGAATATTTTGGCAATGAAGCCAAGAGTATTTTTAGGCGATAATGGAAAACATGTACAAATATGGGAGAGGGAAGAAGTATAAAATAAGAAATAAAAAGAAAAAAAAAAGAAAAAAGAAGGTTGTTAAGTAAGATATGGAAAAGGTACAAAGATAAAAGGAGTTCGTTTTTTGCTATTGGTCTTTAGAAGAAGAAGGAAATTTTTTTTTAGATGTAGATTGATAGGTGCAGGCAAGAGACTAGAAGAAAGAGAAAGGGAAAGAAAACAGGTAAGCAAGCAAACAAGCGAGTGAGCGAGCAAGCAAACAAAAAAATTAAAATAAAAAATAGGGAACGAATCGGAAAAGCAATAAAAATTATCCATTATGATGCTTTTCTCTTAGCTTGTGTGAGTCACCATAACCCTTTTTTTTTTTTATTTTTTTTCCTATGGTTTGGAAATCACAAAATCCATTTAGAATCAGAATGTTAATTTCTTATTCGTTCAAACCCCCTCCTTTTTTTTTTCTATTATTATTAGAATATAAATTATATAAAATAAAATTCTTAGTAAGAAAATTAATTGGCACTCTGGAATTAGCTGATGGTATTATTGTGGCGTGCTTCTTGCACCAGATAAAATTATCTTCTACCCTTGCAATCTAATATGTATTTCTATATACATCTATAATCTCAATACAATATCTTAAGCTTGGCAATCAATTCCTCTTTTCTTTTTTTTTTTTTATAAAGGAGATATTCATATTTATGTTCAATCCGCAGCAAAGCAAATATTACACTATTACATTGAACATATCTTTAAAGCTTATATTTTATTTTATTTTTGAAAAAGAGTGTTTCAATTAGAGTCGTTTTTATTTTATTTTATTTTTTCACTTTATGTTTGTATTTACAGTTGGACTCTTTTTTTATTATTATTATTATTTATTTTATTTCTATTATCTTTATAGGTTAGTTACCAATTATTTTGTCATCTTGTCATATTGTTTGACTTACAAACAATAAAGTAAATAGGGACTTGGGTGTATATAAGGGTGTACAGTCAGAAAAAGAAAAGAAAAAAAAAGAAAGTATAAGAAAACCTTGGGTTACACACTGTACCAGATTCCTTACTTGTGACAATTTGTGACAAATGAAGATTTAATCATTCATTGGATTCTCACTGTAAGAAATGGTAGGATTTATAATTCCGACTCGTAACTTCTGCTATTTAAAAATCAGAATTTAAAAGATCGATCACGTAACTTGTGCAGCCAATCGAATGTAACTTTTTTTTTTTTTTTTTTTTTTTAGCCTATTAGTTTTAACTTTCTGCCAAATACGACTTACGGGATTTCAGATTATTTTTGCATCTAATCCAATCAGATATTCTAAATATGGGAGTTTTGTGTCTCTTTTAGGTATCTCTATTCTTCTTATAATTGGTTTAACAAATGCATGATATTTTATTGATCAAAATTAATAAAAATATATAAAGAAGTACTGATTTATATGATATTAGTAACAGTTCAATCTACAAAATTTGCTATCAAGTATACACATATATCTATTGTTTCTAATAAAGTATGCGAGTAATCTTTATATATTTTTAAATAAATTAATTACATACACAATAGACATTCCTGGATATCCCATCCCTTGTTTTTGAAAAAAAAGAGAGAGAGAGAGAATAGGCTTGATTTTTGAAGAAATGCTTAACGGACAAATGACATGGAAATTTTAAGGATTTCTTAATTTTCCACTTCATTTGTCCATTAAATCGCATCGACCAAGAAAAATGTATAAAACAATCACTGGAAATTAAATCTCCGTTAAAAATGAATATGAATGAAAGAAATTTATTTTCCCACCAGATAACGCGTGGTCTAATATCAGGGGGTGGTCAAATGAATATTGTATATATATATAGCTTTTTAAAAGTAAAAAAAATGATAATAATTAATATTAAATGTATAATGTTTATTGGTTTTTAATAATATTAACAATTCTTTGGGTATATTGAAATCCTAATAAAATAATTTTTTTAATTTTTTTTTAATGCTAAATAATAATAACATATTTCTTGCGTTTAGAATTACACAAGAATGCATATTTGTTGTATCGCCACTTAAATACCAAGTTGAATGTAAAATACGTATTTTAAAAAAGTAATCTCCTATTAAATCCTAGACTTCTGGGTTATCGTACTTTTGAAAATAGAAGGATACGCATAATTGCGCTTTTTTTGCGAGCGGTGCTTATACTGAGTGTGTCTGTGGTTTTAAATGATATTAAATGATAATTATTTCGAATTGCTTCTAATAATAGATTTATTATTTTTGTGTGTTTGTGATTTTTAATTTAAATATCTGATATCGAAAAAAAAAATCACAAACACAAAGGAGAAAAGCCATGTATGCTTTTTATTTTTTGAGATATCTGTCTGTCTAGTGAATATCAATACTAATTTATATTTATAATACTACAAAATATGCTTTAAATACTTTTGCCAAGAATTAGCATTTTTATTATTATTATTATTATTTTTATATATAATATAATATAATATATGTTATGGCTAATAGCAATTATGTTAGTTTATCAATAAAACGCCCTTTAATAAAGATTGCTGATTATTGTTTATTGATTTATTACACTATTAATTTTAAAGAAGTGACGCTGATACTGATGCTTGATCTTAATTTATTTTTATAATATAAAAAAAAAAGAAAAACTTCTTAATTGCTAGCAGCAATCACGTCACAGGTAGTGTGAATAATGCAGCGAACCATTTTATTTTTATTTTATTTAATCAATTCAATAGCAATAATACCAGTAATTGATTTAGCATTTTTTTTTATATATTTTATTTGACCTTCTAGGTTTCATAACCAAATGCACCAGATCCCCCGTATCGGATGTTATATTTGATTTGATTTGATTTGATTTTATTATCAACTGTTATAGTGTATAAAATGAATGAATGAATGAATGAATGAATGAATAAATAAAAGTAAAATTGTACATACTACTACTTTTTTTTTTTCTATTCCTAGTCCACACCAAATTTGTACAATATATAATAAAGATTCTTAATATTGCCTCCTTTTAGAACCACAGCTACAATTTTCAGCTACCGTTACATAAGTTACAGTTACGGTTACTATAAGTTTACTACAGCAGTAAGAACAAACAGTAACAACTATTCACAACTCAAAAGGTAAAAAGGCATCATTACTAAATGTATTTCTTAGCTTACCATACATTCCACCTACTTGACCAAAGGATTTACAAATATCAAGATAAATCACTCACTCACTGTTTATTCAATTCAATTTATTGACTCCTTGCAGACGTTGTACGACAAAAGCAGTCAAGACATTTTAGAAAAGGGTGTGGAATCTAAAATGGTCTAGTTATCTTTTATTTTCTTTTTTTTTTCTTTCTTTCTTTCTCTTTCTTTCTTACTTACTTACTTTGACTCATCTTGCTTCATTCTCATATATAAATATATCTCTTGTCCTTTCTCTCTCTTTTTTTTTGTTTGTCTTGGGTATACTTACATCTCCTTACCTCTTTATATAATATATATATATACATTCTCAATCTCATTACAAATTACAAATTACAAATTACAAATTACCAATCAATAAATCTTTTTTTTTTTTAATAGAAATTATATAATCATCAAGGATGGAAGATAACAATGCTCTCAATGGCCCTACACCTTGCACAGCTGGCTGCGGTTTCTATGGAAGCAAGATTTACAACCAGATGTGCTCTAAATGCTTTAAAGAACAAGAAGCACAAAATAAGCAAGGTTAGATAATCTCAATTGCTTTCTTTTTAAAAAGATACCAAAAGTAGAAGAAAAAGAGAAAAGAAGGACAATAAAACTAATTATTATTATTATTATTCATTTACCTCTTGTTTCATTTTATATTATACATTGTATATACATACATAAATACATCTTTACCTTTACCTTTACCTTTACCTTTATATTCATACTTATGTCTATGCTTTATTTGTTGTATATTTTTATTTATTTATTTATTATATATCAATAATAAATATCAATAATCAATATCCTTAAAAAAAAACATCAACAACATCAACAACATCAACAACATCAACCACACAGGTCAAGTAGAATTGCCTAATGCCAAAGAGATGAATGCTTTGTTGGGATCATCGGAAGTTATTCCATTGCCAGCTAAAAAGGAAAAGGAAACAGAACCGACTTCTAAACCGGTTGAAGCCAAAGACAAAGACAAAGACAAAGCCAAAGCCAACACCGATGCCAAAGAAAAAGACAAAGACAAAGACACAGACACAGACAAAGATACGACCAAAGATACAGTCAAAGTCAAAGAAGGTGCAGAACAAGAAAAAGAAAAAGAACCCAGTCCGGTCCAGAAGTCAAAGGGACGTTGCTTCATTTGTCGCCTCAAGGTAAAAACAATATATACAGAATTTTATCAATTTCTTTCTTTCTTTGTTTGTTTGTTTGTTTTGGCTGGTGTTGTATGTGTATGTATAGAGTGTAGACGCACGCACTCTTATAGCATCACACTACAAACGCATATAAAGAAAAGAAAGAGATATGTGTGTCTTTAAAGAAGTCCAAAAGTGTGCATATGAATGATATCAAGACAATTGTCATGAGTATAATCACAACAATAACAATAATAAGCAAACCAATCTATTTACTAATATGTATATGTATATTATATGTCTGTGTGTTTGTTGTTTCAAATGACTGTAGATTCCTCTGGCCAAACAACTGAGTAACAAGTGCCGTTGTGAATATGTGTTTTGTGATTCTCATCGTTTCCCAGATAAGCACAACTGTGAATTTGATCATGCCTCAATGGACAAGGGTAATTTTTACTTTACTTTATTGTTATTATGGGATGTATTACTAAATATATATAATAATAATAATAATGTACGTAATCATTATCAATTGTATTGTATTTTATAGGTATTCTTGCCAAAAACAACCCAAAGCTCAATGACAGGCCGCGTGGAGGAAGATCTTTCCAACGTCTTGATAGTCTTTAAAAGACATCAAGTCTAAGAACACGAACAAACAACAATAATAACGATGATGAATTACAGCAGAACTCATCTTACACACACACATATATATATATATATATATATTACACACATTACACACATTACACAGACAGGCAGGCAGGCAATCAAGCAAGCAGGCAAGCAGGCAAGCAGGCAGAGAGATAGATAGAAACATACAGAATCCCTCTCTATCTCACTCTTTATCTCTTTCTTTATCCCCTTTACCTTTACTTTTTTTTGTTTCCCCCCCCCCCCCCCCCTTTCTCCCAAATCCAAATCACACATCCCCTTTTCACCTACCCCCTTTCCTATATTTTTTTTACACAAGAAATCATAAAGCACATTTTTTAAACAAGCTTCATTATCGAAACAACTCTATGTGGGTGTATGTCTATTAACAGTGAGAAATAAGTGGTAAAATAGACAGATATATAGGTTAATTGATATATAATATATCTATAGAAATAAAATAAAAAGGTACAGAAAAATAATAACAAGAGAAACCATTTAGTATAGCCCAGGACAGGACAGGGCAGTGCAGTATAGTAATGCTTGGTTGCGAATGAATTTAGCATCAAATTACAGTTTGGCATATGCTTTGTACCCCACCAGATGCAAAGAATACATCTATAAAATCAATGCCAAAATGAATATGAGTATAACACCCGGCTTACCTTGGTTTGTCGCCCCCCTTCCTCTGCCCTACACTACACTATCCTGATATACCCCGCTATGCCCTGCTCTATTCTGTTTTGTTCTCTTACCTCCAAAGTTTCGTTTTTATTTTAGGTACTAATTTTTATCTATTTGTCTAATTATTCTTTTGATGCTTAGACTTTTTATATATATATAGGTACCCGGTTTTGGTTTTTAGCTTTAG